TCAGTTAACTCATCCGGTGGAAAAGGATGGGGAAAGCCAAGAGTAGCCGACCGCACTGCGATGCATACATTTTCCAAGGAGGATTTCCTTGAGGGCCAACAATAGCAAGTCCCAAGGACCATGTCTATAGACTCACGAATGGGGGTCGATGGGTCGAGTTCCGTGACGTGCGCGAACAGCTGCCTGAAGTACTCGTAGAGCAGCTTAGGAGCATCCGACAAGCACGCCAGGTGCGCGTCGTTGCCCATGAACCGAGCGCCTCCTTTTCGTCGGAAGCCATGGGCGCAAGCAGTAGGCTCACCTGCTCAAACGTATAACCGAAGGCTTGGAGCAAAGGATCCTCCTGTAGCTTCGTATCGCTCGGCTTCGCGGCCAGATCGATGGTCTTGTTCTCCAACACCTTGTTGAGAACAGTAGGCATCGTGATCAAACCCTCGTCGAGCCAAGCCCTAAAATCATGGCGGCTCGAGACAGCGGCCTTCAGCTCAGTGTCATCGATGATGCGGCCAGCTTGCGTGTCAACCAGAAGCATGCGGCCGGGCTGCAAGCGGCCCTTCTGCACAATCCTCTCAGGGTCCACAGGGATGGTGCCAACCTCTGAAGCGCAGATGAGGCGGTCGTCGTCCATGACATAGAAACGGCATGGTCGGAGACCGTTACGGTCAAGGTAGGCGCCGCCGAAACGGCCATCGGCAAAAGTGAAGAGCGCAGGACCGTCCCAAGGTTCCATCTGGCAAGCAGCCCACTCGTAAAAAGCAGCCTTCTTGGGATCCATCAGCGCGTTCCCTTGCCATGCTTCGGGAACCATCAGCATGACGGCCTCAGGGAGAGAGAGGACGCCGTTGATGGTGAGCAGCTCTAGCACGTTGTCAAAAGCGGCCGAATCGGAACCGCCGTCCTCGACTACGGGGTAGAGCATCTCGAGCTCATCGCCGAAGATGTCGGATCGCATCACGCCTTCACGGGCGCGCATCCAGTTCTTGTTGCCACGGAGCGTGTTGATCTCGCCTAACAAAAGGGTTAGCATCTACTGGTTCTTGCCTAGTCAGATCTACTACTTACCGTTGTGAGCGGCCCATCGTAGAGGTTGGGCACGATCCCAAGAAGGGAACGTATTGGTGGAGAAGCGCGAGTGCACGAGGGCAAAATGAGCCTCATAATCGGCATTCACCAAATCATGGTAGTATTGGTAGACCTGAACCGGCGCCAACTGCCCCTTGTAGACAATGTTCTTGTTGGACAGGGAGCAGATGTAGAACCAGTTCTGGAGCCCCACAGTGTGAGTGGCTCGCTTTCGGAGGACATAAAGCTGCCTCTCAAAGCGCCTCTCATCAAATTTCTCTGGGTCCGTCACCTCGGGAGCGTTGCCCGGGCCATATGCAGACTGCAGTACGACGAAGGGTTGAAGCACGGTAGGCTCCCGTGAAAGGGCAGCAGGACCAAGAAGAGAAGAATCCACGGGGGGCTCTCGCCACCCCAGGACCCTCAAGCCCAAAGACTCGGCAATATCTTCCAACTGCCGCTTGCACTCGTGCACCGTCTCCTGGTCGGGCTTGAAGAACAAGTTTCCCACAGCATACTGGCCCAGAGGGGGGAGCTTGATTCCTTCTTCTCGCTCGAAATTTTTGATGAAGAACTTGTGAGGAATGGAGGTCATGACACCCGCGCCGTCGCCATCCCGTGCGTCGGATCCCACCGCACCGCGATGGGTCATGTTGCAAAGGAGGTTTCGCGCTGGGTGAATGCTGAGTTAGCATTTTGCCGCATAGGAAAGGGAAAAAGGCCTACCATCGCTGACGATCTTGTGGCTCGGCTTGCCCTTGATATGGCTTCGGGTTGTTAGTGCGATAACTCTTGCGGGCCGATACATCAAGTGCTTACCAGGCAAAACCGACACCGCAAGCATCTTTCTCAAGAGATGGGTCGTACAATCCCCTACAAGAGTGAGTGATCGCCCTACCAGGAACAGGTGGTGCGGCGAAAGAGGGGACGTACTGCTTCACCGGGAGAGCACCCGCCCAGGAGTCATTGTTCTCCGTCTGGTACTCATAAGGATGGTATTCCTCTTTTTCGGCGTCAATATGGAGTTGTCGGTCATCGAAATCCTCAGTGACCTTGATGGCACCCATGCTAGGCAAACTACTTGGTAATGCCCGCACGGGAAAGTCGGAGAGGTATTCGGATGGCCTTAGTTATTGTGGCCAAAGTTGGGTGTAAAAATGTGGGAATCGAGGTTATTGAGAACAGCGAGACGGTCTAGAAATACGAAGGCGAAAGTTAGCTCTAATCTCTGAAAAGCATCTAGTCAAATCAGGTGTGATATGATCCGGGTCGGTGCTGGGCCACAATGACGTGCGGATCCCCAATGGGTTAAAGTTCCGGGGGAGAACCAAAGTTTCCGGTCACGCAGAAGGGGAGAAGACCAAGATTGCGGCGGCTTGAAAGGGATCAGGACGTTAAAGCGCAGTCGTTGTAGGACATGGTTGATTGCCGATATCATTCGTGCAGGGGCCGATATTGGGTGGATATCCACTGGGCCGGCAGTAACCCCATGAATAAACCAAGAGTTACTGTGGTAGGCTTGAAGCCTGCCAGCAGTTGATCCGCTCTGGTGCCCATTCGCAGACAGAAAATGAAGTGCTTTCATCAGGTCCCTCTGACCGTTCCCGATGGGGCCTCTTGAGACACCGTGGGCTGCAATTGCCGCAACTTGAAGTGGAAATGCAAGGTCGTCTTCGTCTGTTGTTCTAGCTCGCGTGTAGTATTATCGCCAAGCCGTAGCATTGCTGCTGCAGACACACCCACCCAGTTCGAGGGCTGCTGATAGATAGCCTTGCGTTGCGGATCAAACCCCGACTGTGATGCAATGCGAGAGCCGCTGCAGCCAACCAATTCTGGGTGTGCCCACTCACATTACCCCCAAATTCGACGCGGGATGACGTACAAGCGTTGTTCGGTGCCTTATCGCGCCCATGCGAGCGGGGGAGTCCGCTGATAGGGTGCTAAAAGCCCAGATCCGCGGTGCCATATGCAATGTATGCAATGAGGTTGTGGCAATGTGGCATCGTCGATATTGCACAATTGCTGGCTATCTGGCAAGATGCTGTGCGGCAAGTCGTCGACAGCGTCGAATGAGGGGTTCGGGGTGAAGCCAAGAACCGGGGAATCGGAGGGGCATTTGGTGAGTGGGAGTGGGGGCGGCCAACCCCCACCAAACGGCCGAGCTGAGCACATGCCAATCCAGCATCGTTTCTGGCCCGATCCGGAACACCAGGCAGAAAAATACGTCTGCGGTTTCGGTGAATCGCTTAGGTTGTGCGTCGGGTGGTCGGGTTCGGGCCGTGTGCTTGCTGTCATGGTCGGAGCACTTGTCGAGACGGGGAAGTGCTAGCCATTTGTTTGTGCTGTGTCCTCCGTTCACTGGTTTGACCGTGGGACTTGAATTCGCGGGACGGCAGTAAAGTCGGCCAGAATGAGGACTTGTCTCTCGCTGAGTGGTTGGACGACGACTACCCGGAGGGGTGGTTTGTCGACGTGTTTCGTTCTTCAAGCTATTCCGGGGAAGTCCACGCAGGTACTGGACTATTCGGGTCGCTCGAATCGCATCTCCTCCTTTGGCGAGAGCATGGTGTTTGTGGGTGGTAGTAGGGAGGAACGTTTAACGACCTGGAACTTACCAATTTGCTTGATGGCAACTCTCGACCAGAGTCGCTTGTACGCTTTTTGTTATGGCAGACTCGGGTAAAGCGAGAGGTCGGTGCCGGATTGGTGAGATGAGACTTCACGAAAGAGAAAGAGAGGAGGGAGGGGGGAATGACAACTGGGAGGAGTGGTGGCGACTCTGCTTTTATGTACCAGCGTCCGGTCCGAACTAGAGTTGGCAGTCACGGCAGCTGATCCTAGCCCAGGTGGTGTGATATACCTAGCGAATGTGAGATGAGAGCGAATGCCTGGGCAGATTTCCTGTCGGGTATGCTTGGCTCAGCGTTAATTGGGCTAGGTAACGAGAGCGGAGTAGGAATGGCCAAGGCGAAGCGTGAAATGCAGGGGAAGATGGAAGACCGGTGGCTACCAAAGTAGTGAATGGAAAGAAACTCACATGCTTGGGTAGGTAGGTAGGGAACCTCGTGGGGTCCCGGTCCGTTCCGACGGTTGGATTGGGTTTTCATCCAGTGCTGTTGTTAATCAATGCAGCCACGCGGATTGTTTGCCCGTTTGTCTAATGTTTTGGTCGCAACCTCGCTTTCCAAGATCACTGGATGGTATCTCATAGAGCCGTGTGAAAACAAACAATATTAATGCCATGATACATGTAGGAAAAGGAGAATTGGGTCCGTTGGATGATGGCGGCCTTGCCAGACACGGAAGCAGCATTACCACCCGGAGCCCTCGAGTATGGGAACTATTCTCTCGACTCGGCAAACGCATTATCCAATTATTGATACCGCAAGAAAACCCCTCAGCTCCCCATTCCCCATTCCTGATAATTCTCTCAACGGAAGTTGGAGTTACACTTCGTTCAGGTTTGATGAGGAGTCTCGAGGGTGAACTTGAAGTGCCCAGCTTCCACAAACGTACCCCACACGAGGTTGCAACCTCAAGTGTCTAAAAGAGGCTAGCGTGAGATCCAAGCATCGGCTGCATACGACAGCAGCATCCAGATCCCTGTTAGTAACCGGGGTCAAAAGTTGGACGTCGGCTTTCCACCGTCGTGTAATCCAATCAGATGCATCGTTTTGCTAAGGCTGCCAGCCGATGTCGCTGGACGTCGGCCCGGGATGGGGTTTGGAGAGCGGTGCCTGCGTCGCCCCCAGTTGAGAAACACCCGGCCGAGGTACCTCCCTAGTCCACGACGTGGATTCAAAGGATTTGGAGGAGAGCAGAGAAAAGCGACCTGTAACTACGATGTGATTGGCGAGACCATGACATCGACTCGGGCAAAGTTGCTGTTTAGAATGACTTGGAGACCCGGCGGTTTTCGTATTGTCGCTTCTCCTTGGGACACCACCGAAAACGGCGGGCATCGGAGGATCCCGTGTGGTGTCCGCCGCCTCATGCCTCGCAATGGGGAAACAGGGTTGTTGGGCCAAACTTCTTACAATTTTACAACTGTGAGCCGAAGGTATTAGCAAGCCGCGAAGAATGGTGTTGTCAAAAGAATTTCTGAAACGAATGCGCCAATTAGATGCCCTATTCCCAGCCTTGCTGCTTATCTTGCATCCACTTATCAATGCCCAGCCTATCCAAGCACGGGGTGGCGCTGCAGGGTGCAGTGGGGACAGAATCGCGAGCCTTCATGGTTGACCCAGCTCCAACCCGAAGCTGTACCAAGCACAAGAAACAGCCTCATGGAATTTGGTGGGGTACGCTACCCTGACAGCGGGCCGAACACATTTACATACATGCTTTGGGGCATCTTGTATAGACAGAATGATTGAATCCTGTGTCAAGAAATGACCGATGGCTTCTCTTTCATCGATCTCGGATTGTAATTCGCGTCATGGATGTGGGGAGCAAGAGACCAGACGGCGCTCCACTCTGCTTCTATTCGTGGGGGCGTCGTGGGTGTCTGCACGAATGCATCAACATAACCGTCCCCCGGCTTGGCTTTTGAACATCAGATGTCATCGGCACTTTTTGCTCCCACGGCGTGATTTTGTGTCTCTTGTCCCGAATGTGTACCGGCAGCCTCTCGTCACCGAGTTATCCTTACGGAGACCAGCGTCGGCTCCACCATGCCCGGCCGCATTGGGCTCAAAGGTTGATCATGTGCAGCAGAAATCGAACAACACCAAATTTGAAGATCTTCCAGCCAGTCAACAACAGGAGACAGACGTAATAATAGGCCGCAGATTTGCTGAGAATTAGGTAAACCCTTGAAACCGGCCAGCGCAGTGGGCGCCTTGCTCAGGCTTGCGTCTTTGATGTTCCTCCGAGAAATTCCGAGGCTGGATCCATTCGCATGGGTGGGCACGAAAACTGGCGGGCCATAATGCACCTCGCCCAGCAGGATGACAAGTTGAGAGATGCAGGCAGGGAAGTGTCCGAGACGACGTGTCAATGGACTCAGGGCAGTGCGCCACCACTGCAAGGGGTTGATTGCGGAATTACCTCACAATAACTCCCATTCTCAAATCAGCTCCGCGAGCCATGGGAAAGTGTCTCTGTTGTCGTAGGTTGAGAGATTCAACCTGCCGCATCGGTCAGTCAAGCTCGGGGAAGCAAGACATGCGTACCGCACCGGCAGCGGGAGCTACACGAGCAATCTATCGCCTCGCTTAGGATACCAAAACAACCACGCAGTTGGGTATATTATCCTTCGAGAACCTGAACAGAATGACGAGCAAGAGGATCATCTAGTTCAGGTATCTTGTCGCTCGTTGTCAATTTCAGCACATCGGGCTCAATATCAAAGCCGGCCACATCTGACAACCCACAATGGCGTACCAAATTAAATATATGACATATGAGTGGCCAAAGCCGCTGTTTCGACAGCTTAAACTGACAATGGGGAAGCACATGTGGGGAGGTCTTTGGGCCATCGAACCCCAGATCTGAGATTGAAGTGCGGACGATCCCTGTTTGCGCACGGACTGTATTGACAAGGCCGTTTTGTTTTGTGGGGAAGGCTCAGATGCCGAGACATGGGATAATGGGAGCTTCCACTCCAGTGGATAACTTCCATGTCGGGTTCTCTCAGGACACGCGAGATCACGGAACTTGCGCAAGCAGGTTAAGCTTGCCGACCAACAAGAACAACACCGCGATGGCTGCCAATCCCCGATGCCGTTCATAGCCGATTCTACCGTTCGTAGCGATTCTGCGATTGCAAGCCTGGAACCCTCGAAACTGCGAAACACAACCTTCGTTGAATCACATCCTCAATAATAAAACACCACAACCATGTTCTCCATGCTCCCAGACCTCACCCCGCGGGACGTAAGTAAACAGGCACCGCCCACTCCACGTCCACCTCTCCAAAACCACCACTAACCCCAACCAAACCCCAGTCCCACTCCCTCTGGTACACCTCCCGCCGCAACCCCTCCTCCCTCTACCTCCTCGACCCCTCCCACCACAGCCCCATCGACGGCACCAACCCAACCACCAACACCGCACCCACCACCACCACCCCCAACCCCACCCAGAACACCCCCGCCCCGCCCACAACAACCGCCGGCGGCGCGCGCCAGGGCAATAACGGCCACTCGGCCAGCGCCGCGGCACAACGAATCGAGCGCTCCGTGCTGGGCCGGCTGCAGGCGGAGGAGCAGCTGATGGAGCGGCGGCGGACGGCGGTGAGCAACCTGGGCAGCACGTGGCTGAAGCCGGTCGGGGTGTCCAAGACGCTGTTCCAGATGCGCGAGGAGCGGCGCGAGGCCGAGGAGCACGCCGAGGCGATGCGCCGCGAGATGCTGGTGCAGGAGCTGGCGGATGCTGAGGCGGAGGCCGCGGCGGCGGCGGTGGGTGGAGAGGGTGGGTTGGAGGTGGAGGATGAGGTTATGGATGATGATGGGGTGGATGGGGGGAGGGATCTGGATGCGGATATTCCGGATGAAGATGCTGGGATGGGGTTTGGGTATGATCCGAGCGATGATGAGGAGGAGGGAGGAGGAGGAGGAGGACGAAGAGGAGGAAGATTATGAGGATAATGATGAGGAGGATGAGGAAGAGCAGGAGGAGTTGAGTGAGGGGGAGCTTGAACGTCGGCAGGAGATTGCCCGCATCCACGCGAGGGAGGTGCGCATGCGCCAGATCACGGAGCAGAGTGATGCCAACCTGAGACGGTCCGACGATATTTTCGATTTCGATGAGGAGCCCAGCGAGGAGGAACGAAGTCAAATGCTAGATGAAGAGGACCTCGTCCGTGGTGGCCCAAACCCACAACTGGGATCGCAGGGGCGGGTATCGGGTGGAGCTGGCCACGACATGGACATGGACGCGGACTTGGACGGCGACATCCCCGAGGCAGAAGGTGGCTATGAGCATACCGACTCCGAGGCCTCGCTCGACAGCGAGGATGATGGTCACGACATTAGCTACGCTCGGAGTTCACGGGCGCACCGCGATAGGACTAGCCTCCGGCGGAGTGGTGCGCCAAGATCGAGTCTCGACATCAGTGGGCTTTTATCGAGAGACGGCAGCAGTATGATGGGAAGCAGTCCGCAAATGCGGGGGGGTAATTACTAGTGTTAGAATATGCGAGGATGGGGCGGATGTCGGTTATAGGAAGCCATGATACCAGCATTGTTAGGCGTTGGGTGTGGTTATTTGTACTTTGAAAACGGTTGAGGAAGACAAAAATTCATGTTCAGCATTACAACATATGTATCAAACCAACTTCCCGCCCGTCATAGTCCGCATGCAAGTGTCGGTACAACAACATCATGACAGCAGTCGTATTCCCAAACAAACCAAGCCAAGATAGGCATGCTTCCCAAACTCCAGGCACCAATGCACAACCCGCCTCCCGGCGTAGAAAGCGACCGACTCTAACCAAGCCTCGCGGCCCCCCCAACCTTTGCTCTAGAACAGCCAGACGTAAACAAACAAGAAGATGACCGCCGCGAAGAACGCAAGCCACACCCTCCAGCCCACGCCCGTCCGCTCCGCCATAACCATCATCCTGTTCATGGTCCGGCCCAGCCGCAGCCGTGTCTGGTCGAAGCCATCGTTCATCTTTTCCGCCAGGGCCGACGAGTCGCGGATCTCATCGCCAATCGCCACCGTCATCTGCGTTGCGCAACAAAGTCAGCTCGGCGTCATGCCATCCATGCCCGGCATGGGCTGTACCCCGCTTGTATAGAGGGAAATAAACTCACATCCTTCAGCAACCGAACCTTCCCCAAAATCCCGTCCACCTGCTGATCATTCTGGCTCTCGAGCTCGTTGAGCACCGCGTCGCTGTATTGGCCCCTGTGGTATCAGTCAGTCCCCCGCCACCAACCCAGAAAGCAGCCCAACACCAAGTATAGAGAAACCTACTTCCGATTCGGCGTCGCTGGCCGATACCCGCCGCCCCCCGCAACCCCTAGATGGCTGCTCCCGCTGGCGCCGACGCTCCCACCGGGCCCGGAGCCACCACTACCACCACCCGGCTGGTACCCGCCATACCCGTAGCCGCCGACGCCGCCGTTTCCAAACTGTTGTGGTTGCTGTTGCTGGCGGCTGGGGCTGGCGCTGACTGTCCGGCTGGCGGCGCCGCCGGTGTAGCCCTTGAAGAGGTCGCTGCGCGAGTCGCGCTGGTGCAGGGAGGAGGAGCCGAACCTGGGGGTGGGGTTGGTGAGGTTAGTGATGTTGTGCTAGGTTACGAGTTGGGTGATGGGGGGTTCAGATGGGGTTGTAGAGGGTGGGTGTTCGAGGGTGTGTGTTTGCAAGCGGGCATGGGGCGGGAAGCGGCGGACGAGGAGGCAGGTTGTCGGTGGCCATGATTTTGGCGCTGGATATTGAAATGGCGATGGTTGTGAAGTGGTGGGAATGTGTGGGTGCGATGGGTGTGTGCTGGCGCAACGAGGACTCGTTTTGGTGCAGTATCGTGGTGTCGTGCGCCAACACCCTGCGGCCCAATATGGATACCAAACGGCGAGATCGACGGATGACGAGCGAGGCCAAGCAAGACCCTGAACTAAAATCATGAAACTCACCTCGAAGCCATTTTGTACGAGTCGGAAAAGAGGAATGGTGTTATGTCAAAGTGCGGCCTTCCGCATGGCGCTTTGGCAAATACACGATCCGGCGAACAAGAGGCGAAGTCCGGAAGCTTTTGTGGTGTCAGGGTGATGTGGACTCGGTCACAAGCCCAGTTTAAGTGTTCTGCGCCTTTGTCCAACTGTCCAAGTGTCAAGAATTTGGTGCATCTAGATTGGCCAATTGCCGGGAAGCCTCCCAAGCTACACAGGGGCAAGGCAACGCTGCGTTTGGATTTCTGTGGAAAGGGACGAAAATCCGACTTCGAAACCTTGCCGCCAATCATTACGTCGAGCCCCTGTCTGCATCTGTTTAATTTGAGGCTCGGTCGAGTAACCAGCAGAACAACATAAGGAGCTGAACGCAGTGTGGGCCGCGCGACTGACGAGCGGCAGTTCAGACCAGGGTTGCATGTCTTGGAAAAATCGCCGAGGGACTACGATGCACGGGGCACAGCAAGTAAACTGGAAAGTCGGGAACATTCTTAGGCTCAAGTGCTCTACTTGCCGACGCAACTATCGTAACCACAAATAATCATGAAAGCAGCTAGTTCATTGCGAACGCCTGTTCGCACACAAGGAAAGCAACCTTAAGTTGACGTTAAGTGGGCTAATAGGCCGGCCATAACTAACGCCTCCTCTCGAACCAGCCAAATGGCAATCGAGTATCCAGCATGATAAAAGCCGAGCCATAACCAGTCATTATCTCATACATTCGTCGTCATCTTTACTCGGTCTTAGGTTTCTCGACATCCTGAGCCGGGGTCTCAACGCTCTGAACTAAACCATGAGTCGAGGTCTCGACATTCTGAGCCAGGGCCTCGACAGCCTGAGCCAGATGCTTAACGTTCTGAGCCAGAGCCTGGACATTCTGAGCCCGAGAATCCTAGTCCTCGTCCATCTTGCTGTCATCCATCTTGTTGTCATCCTCGACAAAGTCATCGTCGTCCTCCTCATCGTCGTCATCAGCCGGGTTCTCCTGAGCGGCATTAGCGAAGTCGATAACCTTGCCGCGCGTGCGGCGGCCAATGACGTTGTCGAGGTCGATCTCCTCCATGTTGTCGTCGTCAGCTATAGAGAGGTTAGGTGCGGCACGTAAAAATGATCGGTGAACGGTTGGGCATACCAGCCTCGGGTTCCTGTGTAAACATTGTTAGTGATTAACGAGCTACCATGTGGCGACGGTTCTTGAAGCGCGCTCACCTCCTCGGGGTCCTCCTCGTCATCATCGTCGTCGTCATCCTCGGCCATGGAAGTATCCTCGACGGGCTCCTGGGCAGCCGGAGCGCGGCCCTTGCCCTTGAGATCGGTCGCGGTCGCACCGCCGTTCTCGGGGTTGGTGGCGCCCATGGGGTCGGTGGAGTTCTGAGCGCTCATAGTTGCGGTTGATGCAAGTTTTCAGATATTGTTCAGATTGATCGCTACGATTGTGAAAAGGCGACCGAGAAAGTTGAGGCGGGGTCGGGTTTGGGTTGCGAGACGAGGAAAGGGAAGAAAAGGAAAGTCGATCGAAGGGAGGAAGGAGGGTGAAGGCCGTGTTAGACGAGCCTTCTGAAATTCTGACCCACAGTTGCCCTGCTGTTCAAGCTTGAGAATTGTGGGCCCAAACTTAGCGGCCCGTAACCAGTAGCAACCAGCTGTCAGGGGTCCTGAGTTGAGACAAACTGCGCAAGCGCTTGAGCAAGCTGATGAAGGGCAATCCAAAAATGTCGGGGATGAAGAAGGGTGGCGGCAGGAACGGATCGGCCGTTGCGAGAAAGGGGAGAATGGAAACCTAAGTGCTGCAGCTCAACGGAAACAGAAAGGGATCAGAGGAGATAGAAAGACCCATCTGGCACATCGCATCATACACAACTTGCACGAACGGCATGAAAAGGAAACAGCAAGCCAGATACCATTAACAGTCCCAAATCTATTATTTCTGGTCTCCGCCTCCAGAAAGTGATAATACCACGCCAATAGCCAACACCCACCAGTACCTATTCCCACCAGGTTAGCACGCTCCAAACAACAGCCGACAACGAACCAAAAAAAGTACTCAGCAACTCACTTCTGCAAAAAGCTCTTCTCCCCCCCCTCCGGCACCTTCCTCCCCTCGGGGCTCAACACCACCGGCTTGCCCAGCGCGGGCTGGGCGCCGGGCGCGGTGCGCAGCACGACGACCTGGGGGCCAAAGTCGCGCGTGACGCCGGCGTCGATGGCCACGCCGCGGCAGACCACGCCCACGTAGGCGCCGTCGCCGTCGACCGTCACCGCAAAGTGCGGCGCGTAGCCCTTGGCGAAGTTGGCCGTCGATGCGACCGAGGTGGAGGACACCCAGGCGCCGGCGGAGGGGGAGTAGATGCCGATGCGCACGAGGTTGTTGTTGTTGCCTTCGTCGTCGTCGTCGGGTAGCTCCGGCGCGGAGTAGGAGAGCACTTCGACTGCTGCGGGGGTGTCGTCGTCTCCTTCTTGCGAATTGGGTGTTGCCGATGATGATGGGGAGTCGATGTCGGGGATGGCAATCTCGGCGAGGAGAGCAGGAGGTGTGGACGGGTTGGCTAAGGGCTGGATGTAGATTGCTGCTGTGCGGGTTGATTCCTCGCTGGCCAGAGCGATCGTCGCGGCGCCAGCCAGAAAGGCGGATATGAGTGCCGGGAGTCTCATTGCTTCCTTCGGCGCGTGGGTGATTGTTCGGCGCGGGTTAGGAGGGTTGTGGACGGATCGGAAGCTTGAAGCCACCCAAGGTTCGAAGAAGCTGATGTGCCAAGCGTTTGACGGTCGCTGTTTCTGGTCTTGGCTTTTGACCCACCCTCGCACTCGGCCTGTTTTGACAGGGGCTTGGACAATGGACTTGCCCCACCACCAAGACGGAGCTTTTGCACCGGTTCTCTTGGGCTTCACGGAATGAGGAGAGCTCGGTTCCAGAGTGCTACATCCTCGGACTCGGAAGCCCTAACTCATATAAATGGTGTGCTCGTTATTCATGCCGAGGTGCTTATTCACTTATGCGCCTACCTTCGGGCGGTGATTTTACAACCCAGCTTCAGCATTTCGAAATGTAATAGAGGTACTTCGTAGTCCCTATTGTCTTGCCCAGCTTCCGAGTATTAAGGAGCCGTGTGTGCGTAGGTAGTTAATTCTGAGGAAATACCACATGTTACTCTCGTGGGGGAAAACCGACAGTTTTCGAGAAGCGGTAAACTAGGAGAAACATGGTTGACGATTTAGAGGCAAACCGCACAGAAAATGGGCTGCTATGACGGCATCACTCCCAGACTTACGCACATATCCAGTCGAAAACTTGTATTCCTATAGGTCCCTCATGGGTATGTTGCTAATGCCAACGTCGCAGGTCTCCTTTTTGAGACCCAACTTTCAAGGTAATTCCAACCAAACGCCGCTCGGTATCTCCATGTTAAACCCCCTCATCCATGCAAAATGTTCCACAATCCCGGTGTCCCACGCCGGCCTCAAAATAATCGAATCACCAGGGGTTTCTAGCGCCCAGGGCCATGCGCTGCTAGGAATGACCTCCGCCGGTGCCAGCTGATCCTGCTATCCCATCCCCTGAAGACGCCGTTTGGCCTCCTTCGGTAATATCGTCGTCATCCAGTTCGTCACTATCATCCAAAGCGTCGCTGTCTCCAACATCGTCGCTGTTCTCCGGCCCTTCGAGGCAGTAGCCCGGGCATCGCTCGACAAGCCCCGCGTAATACGCAACTAGGACTTCCGGGTTGGGCACAATCTTCCAGTCGACCCGGTGTAGGAACTCGAGCTCTAGCATTTTTAGCTCGGCGACCTTGACTCCCCCAACTCTGGCATAGGTCGAATTGTTCCAGAAGGCGTCCGACAACCCCTTGGCCGCAACGGTGGCGGCAGTAATGAGGAATCGGTGGACGGTAAGTGTGTTTATGGTAAAATCGGGGTACAGCGCGCACAAGCGGTCGATGTAATAGACCATTGAGAGAAGGAGGGGTGGTGTGAGAGTTGCGTGCTTCGCAAGGCGGTGAAGGTAGTCAGGTACTGATATCCCCGGGGCCGTTCTAGAATCAAGTCAGTGCGGCTGCGTCGTGTTGAAACCGTGGGAGACGAGGCGGGGGTTGGGGGACGCATACCGGGAATGAAATCTAGTGAGGTGCCCTGATTTTAGGGCAAGTGAATCGTTGGTCTCTATAAGTTCGCCGAGCATATGCGCAATAAGGACTACCACGTCCTCGACCGCGCATAGCTCATATCGCAATGGCAGGACTTTGGGGGGTGCTGTGTCGGGTTTCACCCGCTTGGCGAGTGTTGAGGGGTTTTGTAACGGATCGGTCGCTAAGGCGCTTATGCTCCCAGGCCCTTGCGAGTTTCTCCGCTTAGACGGAGAGGTCGGGAGAGACGGCGCTTCAATACGCTGCTTCGGGCCGGAAGGCACTGGTTTGACGGGCTTCGCCCGTGGCTGCACGGCGACGTCGGGCCGCTCCTCGGGGGCGGCCATTGTTTTCTGCGCCTTGGATGAATGGCAGTCGGAGGTGGTGGTGGGTGGTACTCGCGGGAGCAATGCGCCAGTGGCGTAGTCCATAGGCTCCATCGGCGAGTACTGAGTCGCAGCATCGACGGCTACATATCGATTCGGCTGCGAGGCGTGGGGCGGTATTATTGCGGGCGCGGAAGAGTTGGACAACGACCGGCGAGATTTGGCGACGGCCGGAACCCGGGGAGAAGAGTATCGCGGCGAGGGCGCAGGGGCATAGTGGAAGCTGTGGAAGCTGCTTTGAGGAGATGCATTGGCTGGGTTTGTTGTGGGAACGGGAGACCGTGCCAACATCATCCCAACCTCCAGAATCTCCCCTCCTGGAAAGCTTAAAACAACAGAAGAAGTTGGTGAGAAGTCCTTGTGCGGCAAGCCTAGCCGGAGATGGTGGGGCGTTTGGCGAGATTGGCCCACTATGAACGTGCTTCCAGGTTCGAATCTTCGGGCTCCCCACAAAGCAAGTCGCACTGACCGGTGTGCTTGCTCGGTGTCCGGAACCAGCACAGGCTAGCCCGAAACTAACACGCTGATGAGAGGCAAACAAAATTTGACCGCTGCCGTGGAATCGGGTTTCCCAGGCGTTGCGCAGTCTTTTACTTCGTAGGGGTCACTGGACGGGAACAATGACAGACACAGTGAGGTGGCGAACTGAATTCCTGTTGTGGTATCCGGATGTCTTTCCGCAACAGCGGGGTTTGCAGGCCTGCAGGTCTGGGGTGTGCAGGAAGCCGTGCTACCGAAAGGCCTATTGTGACGTTGTCTTTGAATCGGAATAGATGAACAAGAACAATCAATAATGGGGGATCAATCTGTCTGGCTTCGAGGGGCGCTACTGCATCGCTATATACTACGGCCTCGGCCCTGCACCAGCGTTCTGGGTCGGTGCAAAGGTGTGGTAGGACACCGACAAGAGCCCAATTTCGTTACTCAACCAGCAATTGCTTGGACGCCCAGTGGGCCGAGCGAAAGGGACCGACCATACGGATCACGTTGGTATGCGAGGGACACCGAGTCGCCGGGAGCCATGAAGGCGGCGCGATGTCTTTGCGCCTCAGCGATTGGCGACAGCCGAGACTTCAAGCCAGGAGGCGGGCTTGGCAATAACGTGACAGCGGACCAGGGCATGAAGCGGTGGACGGCAAGGACCCGGATACCATGTGGCCCTCTTCCAGGGCCGGTTGTGGAACTGAGAGAACAACAAGGGGCGAATGTTTGGCTCAGATTGATTAGAACTCTACGCTGTCAGCGGATGTGTTTGGAGCCCACCGGTCAATTATACCATGCTGAAGAGGGAGTCGGTGTCTGGAAATGGCAATTCACAGACCCGTGGCCAGTCGTGAGCTAATCTTTTATCCAAACGGCCCAGGTCATCCTGTCATAGGACCGCCCACGTGCGAGTTGTAGTGCAATGGAACATCAACATCTTGCGGCCAAGAAACCTGGCCTAAAAAAAAGAGACGACTTCAAATAAAATAGCAAGGACTCGAAGAAACAGAAGCCAAAACGAATAAAAAAAGAAGGGATAAAAAGGGCCCAAATAACCCGATAGATAGAAAACCGCGGTTTCCTATGAGCTGCTTTCGGGTGGGTAACGTGTTGACTACCTAATTGGACCAGCCTTTGAGGTTGCTTCTGCTATCTCAACCTTCCATGATGTGTAGGTACTTCGTACAAAGTGCCAAGTCGGGTATGTGCGAATTTCTTTGCCATCTTGGAGTGGCTGACTGGGCACCCATTGATGAGTGTCGGATGGAAGTAAAAATTGCTGGGCAAAAAGCTCAGACCCAGCCTGGAATCGTCTGAGCGGATGTTCGACAGGAGCCAGGGAGCCCAAGCAGCCTTCCCGCGGCTCCATGCAGCTCGGGTGGGGCAAGAACTCGCCATTTGATCCTGCATCCTGTCAATCGATTCTCTAGAGGACGAAGTACATCCACCATCCACTCGTGGCATCGAATCGACATGTTATCAAAATGACATCTTGGTGATAACCAACTTATGTTGTTACCTAGGTAGCTTATCCATCACACTAATCTGACCCTACCTTCCTTCCATACAATACGCACGCACAGTCGACAACTGCAATCACTATCAACTCTTCGAACAAACGGTAATACGGAACTAGCCGGAAGCAGAGACACAACGGGCCAATACTGAGCCATCACGATCACCATCTCCCCGTTTTCGACGATTGAAGATTAAGCCGGAACGTTCCCGCCACCGGGATTTTGCATATCCCTCCGCCCCAGCATATCAGTATTGGCGGTTCTCTTGGAACGAGCGGTTCGGCCCTACGAAGTATCAACAGTCGCGACAGAGCACTGCCCAACGCTATGGCTAGAGTCCAAAGTCCACCACTTCTGACACAAATACAAGTCGCGAGGAGTTACTCGGAACAAGCGACCGCTCTTCGCGCGTTGAGGGATGAGATAATCGGGCACTCCCAACGGAAAGAACAGTGGATACAAAACGGCGTGCTGGAGTTGCTTGTCAAGATTCTCCAGAACAATGGCATCTCGCCGAGAAGCTCGAGTGGCAAGGAACGCAGTCGGACAGGGCAGTCCGCGGGGCTCTCGGAAGAGGCTACCGTGAGGCTGTTATCTTTACAGCTCGTTGCCAGCTTCGCATACGGTGAGTGCACCACAGATCGGCCGGTTATGGAGGACAAGTCCACGGTATTAACCTAGTCCAGGCGGTGCTGCGTTCCTTGCTCCGTTGCATGCCGTCGGCATAGTCGCGACGATCATTCCGTTTTTATACTTGCGAAACAACCCTCCGCAAGTCGTGTTGACGGCCCTACGGACTTTCAAGAACATCACAGAAGCCACCCGGCTTGCGACCCCCGGTGCCGAAGATACAACAAACTTGTCGGATGCGTTGTTTTCTACCAGCTCACTTGCCGCTTTTTATGACATTCTCTCTCAAGAGTCAAGAGATGGCGTGGTACAGGAACAAAAACGCTTAGTGGCGAGCCTAATCAGCAGCTTATGCAAGACTCCGACACACCAAAACGCCCTGGCTGACTCCGGTGTTATGGATGCGCTAGCTACGATGCTGGCAAGTTTCGTTGTTGAGAGGGGGGAGGTTATTCCAGGAGCAGAAATAGCCGGGCGCAACGACGGACTAGCAGGTCTGATCCCGGCTCCTGCACCTCCTGGTGCCGACCTGGCCCTGACGCTCCAGGCCCTATCCACCATCATCGCCAACTCGCGTTTCCGCTCATACCTGTTGCTATGTTCTCCGGCCATCGTGGCGGTCTTCTCTTCGGTTGGAGGTATACCTCTCGCTCCGGAGTCGAAAGCAGCCTGGTATGCGCTTGAGATGAGCGGGTTTGGCACCATCCGGCCTAGGGGGCCCCAAGCAATGGACCTCTTGCTTCCCGCGGTTCCTATCCCTCAGGCCAGGTCTCAATCGAGAGGTTTCAGCGACTATCCACCGCTGGGCTTCTCCTCATCCCGGGAAGATCTCGCCGCCAGCAGCAGCCAGGGGTCGACGTTCAAGTTTACCGGGGTGGGCGTGGGCCGTCCCGATACGGCTGACGAGGATGAGGAGGCTGATGAGCCTGAAAGCCCTCTTATCCCATGGCTTATTCGTCTTGCTCTGTCAACCCAGGGTCTCGAGAGAGTCATGGCTGCTTCCCTAGTGACATCGCTGTTCAAGGCTGGGTTTGCGTGTCCGGAACGCGAACAAATGCTCGCAGTGCTCGTTGTTCCGCTCCTGGGGCAGCTGATGAAGGAGCATGATGAGGAAAGCCCCGCCTCTGTCCAGCAGTCCGCTACCGTGGGGCCTGACGTGGCCAGGCGTTGGGAAATTCAAGAGCGGGCTCCGGATGTTCTAGCTCGGCTTGTTGGGGAGAGCGAAACTCTGCAGCGGGCGGCACGCGAATGCGGAGTGCCTAAGATGGCCGTTAAGCTCTTGAAGGATTCGTACAAACCCCAGCCAGTGAGCTGCCCCCCTCAGCAGTGGTCAAGTAAGCCTGACCGAGGTGCGGATGCCGAAGGAACCCCAGCTTCCTGCCGGCTCGGACCGCCTGGCCGGGTGCCTGCATATGGTCACAAAATAAACACGCGGGAAAGCGCCCTGAAACTTGTGGCGGCAATGGCCACACTGAGCAATGAATATCGGGAGGCGCTCGTCGACGCAGATGCCGTTTCGTACATTGTGGAGTCACTCTGTCCAAACCCCGGCAAGCCAAAAAACCCCAGGGAACAATCATCCTCAGAAAAGGGACCTGAAGATGGAAATGCCGGCGGGCCCTCAGCGTATGGCCACAACCCCAATTCCGTCCTCATGGCAGCATGCCACGCTATCAGGGCGCTCGCGCGGTCGCCCAAGATCGTACGGACCACGATGAAGGACCACGATGTCGGAAAGCCAATCAATAAGTTGCTCAACCATCCCGACACCGAAGTCCAGATTGCTGCTTCCGGCGCAGTCATCAATGTAGTTACCAGCCACAGCCCTGTCGCGGCGGTAAGTTTCTACTTTTTCCTTTTTTTCACCTTGTGATCTTGTCTCAGGGCATGGCACTAACAGGGGCAGGCACTGCTTTCATCAAATGTGGTTCAGACGTTGTGCAAGCATACGCACTCACTCAACGCCGGCTTGCAAATAAACGCGCTTTGGGCACTCAAGCACCTAGTACTCGAAATGGACAATAACATTAGGAAGCCGTGTTTAGATACGCTGGGGTCGGGGTGGCTCGTCCAACTCATCAGCGACGATGACACGTCCGAAGGAGAAGGAGTCCGGACACGGTCGCGGCCAGGACAGCGAGCGGCCGTTGACGACGACGACGACGAAGACATGGACAAGGAAACGCTTGGCGGAGAGGACGATGGCGCACACAACGAGTGGGTCTGGGCCGCCCAAATCCACACCCCGCAAGTCTCTAGCTCGGCGCGCCTGCGACAAGCTGCCGCCAAACTTGAAGCCCTCCACGACGCGGAGCTCAACCCCGCTCGCAAGGCCCGGGCTGACCGCCTCGCGATTCGGGAACAAGCCCTCGGGTTCATCCGCAACTTTCTCACGATTTCCACGTCGACCGGCCTACTGGAGATGGTCGACTACCTGTTCACAGAGCTAGACCAGGATCGACTGTTCTCCATCCTGGCGGACAGGCTCAAGGTGCGCGTGGTGGGCGCGGTCGGGCGGCGGGCCTCGTCCGGGCGTGGGACCGGGCGCGACGCGCTGGTGCTCTACCCGCAGGCGCGCATCGTCGAGAACGTGGCGTACATTCTCGTCCACATCGCGGCGGGCCCTCCGGCGTACCGGCAGTTGGTCATCGCCCAGACGGAGCTCGTCAAGCTCCTGGGCGGGCACTTCAACAGCAAAGATGCCAACGTTCGGCGCGCGCTTTGCCAGCTCTTCATCAACCTGTGTTGGGCCGAGGACGAAAACGACTTCGAACCCTGCACGCAACGCGTCTCGGCGCTGGAGCAGCTCGGGTTCCTGGCCAAGCTGCAGGGCTTGGAGGTGGGGGATGTGGACTTGGGCGTCCGGGAACGGGCCAGGGCGGCCGTGGGCCAGATGAAGACCCCGACTGTGTAGAGCGGCAGGCGCCTACATTTTTCTGGTCCCGGATCCATATACATACCGCGCTTACAGACGGTGAGTACCGTTCAGCTGGCCCGACCGCGTGTCTGAGGTTTCTTCTTTTTTTTGTGGTTCAACATGGATATGCGGGTTATGCGTGGGTTGGGAGTATGTATGGACGGTTACAGTGTATACATGATAATCACTGGGTATTTACAGGTTGGGAAAGGCGCTTGACAGTCGGGGCTGGCTGGCTGGGCATCACGGCAGACAAATGAATGGATGGATGGGATGGTACATACAACCACGGTAGCGCGGGTTTGCCTCACAATTCTTTTTTTTTTTTTTTAGCGATGGGATGAGAGGAAAGGGATATGATGTGGGAGCACCCGGACGTGCCGGGATCGTCCGCCTCTACCTCGTTCTTGTCTCGGGCACCGACGTCCACGGCGATATTGGCACGTCTGTGGCCCGGGTATACACGGTTACTGAAGGGGTGCGGGCGCGAGCCATGAGGTGGTGTGACATCCCTTGGCATTGGTCTACATTGGTCTACATTGGTAGAGCACTGGAAAGTGGCCATTTTGCCATGTCTATGTTAAGCGGATTGTTTGCCGCCGGCGTCTTATACTTTGCGACGGGGTGTTTTGACTACAAATTATTCTTGGTGCTTTGTATACGGCGAGACTGCTTAATATCTTGGACATCTTCACTCCAGTTATTTTTCTCTTTCTCTTCTCTTCCCTATTTTCCCTGGTCATCACAGCTCAGCAGCACAAAATCTGGACATCATTCGGGAATTCGGGGGGCGAGCTCGAGCCCGAATGCCCAGTATTCATCTGCCCTCGCCAATAGGAGAGCTCGGAGCTACCCTGGCTTGCCATGCCGCCTCGCATTACCTAACCAGAAGCTCTTTCTTGCCCTCGTGCCCCCTCATTCTTCTACACCCTTGGTAAATCGAGGTAATAAAGGGAGGTGGCGTGACAGCATGGCAAGTGACGCGATCACCGCCCTCGAGCCAGTCAAAAGATGGGAACGGAATGGTCGGGACTGGTCGGGACTGGTCGTCCCAATTCTCCCCTCCTTGGGAGAGTGTCAGTTTGTGTGACTCGAGAATGAAGTGACAAAAAGTTGAGTGCCGGCATTAGCGATCCCTTGGCTCGGCGATCGGCTTGGCTCGCTTCGGTATGTTGCAGTCATCGATGGGCGAAATGGAGTGACTTGTTGAGGTGGAGGGACGGGACGGGCACTGGCTTAGTGTAATCCTCTGTGGTGGAAGCAAACAAGGGCTCACACAGTGGTGTCTGTTACTCTAAGCTGGGCTGCTTGGCTTGCTTTGGGTTGGAGTGCCAAGGTACGTACTAGGGGTCAGCTATTTCCCGATCGCCACGTTCCGGTGTAAGTGGTCCGGAGCGTCCTCGATATGGAGCACGACATTCGATCTGCTTCGAAATAAATCGCCTCTTTTCAAATCGGGAGCCCTTATTCATCACCACCATCATCAACATCGTCACTCATCATCACGCGCGCCGCCACCGGCCCACCTCACCCCCTCTCCCGAGGTTTCCGGTTGATCCGCCGTTTCTTTCTTCTTACCTATGCAGCTATGGAGCTATTCTTTTCTGCGTTTTCATCTCATGCAGCCAGCCATCCAGCACCCACCCAAACAGCCACCGTTCATGTCATGTGGTGCGGTGTAAGCTCGCTCGCATCAACGTATGCCAAGCATCGGCCCGCGATCGTCATGGCCCATTGGCTCATCAGGGCGAATCCCCGGACATCGTGCCATTTCGGGCGGGCCAGTCGTTATGGTGCGGGGCTCTGTGGCTCTGTGGCTCTGTGCAAGTGCGGTATGCATGACAAGTCACGACAGTCTAGACGTCAAGGCTCCATAGGGCGTAAGTGGGACTGTACCTTGGAAGACCCATGTTCGTGGTTTGGTAAAGAGGTTCGTCGTCGAGGCGTTAGGACACGGGATTGTGCATGGAGGGGGGATGGGGAGTACAGTTGCCAGTGGCTGCCGCGGGTGAGTGTTCTAGTCCATTAGTTCATCTACCGGCTGGAGGTGAAGGCTCGGAATGGAAGGGTACTTCCCAGTTCGAGGACTCGCTTAGTCTCCTACCTACACGATTTCCGGCTTGGTAAGGGCTAGAGTTCGGAGCCATCGGAGTTCGAGCCGCTTCGCTTTCCCCGGGAGATGCTGGCGCTCTCGGGCCCCCTCCTTGGCTCCCTTGCGTGCTGTGTCGCATTAAGAGACATCAGACCGATGCTGGGTAGCGTGATACGGCTATAAGACAGTGCCCCTCCCCTCCATGAATCAGAAACTGATCCCTTTTATATCCATCTGATCATCTCCCATTAACTGGCCTTCATACCTGGCTGGGTATCTGTACTTCATCCCTCTTGTCTCTCATCCACCCAAAACTACAACTTTCGACTCCTGACAGGATTAAGAATCAGCAATCATGGCACTGTTTCCTCGTAATGACGCCTTGAGAACCAACCCACCGGCGGGTGATCAGCAGCTATCGACCAATGGCTCCAACTGGCTGTTTGCTGTCACGGCCATCTTTGGCTTCTCCCTCGTAAGCCGCACAAACATCAACACAAGCCTGAGCAGGCGTGTGAAATACTAACTTGTTCCAGCTCGGCTACTTTGCCTTGAAGTTCCGCGCCAAGAATGGCGAGCGGTTCTTCCACTACCTCTTCATCATCGCCAACTTCACCGGCCTCATCGCTTACTATGCCATGGCCTCTGACCTAGCCTGGGACCCCGTCCGCAATTCAATCAGCTCGTACGCAGCGGCGCGATCCGCAAAATCTTCTGGGCAAGTTACGTCTTCTGGGTGATTGCTTTCCCCACATCCTCCTCGCCTTCGGCGTCCTGTCTGGCGGCTCCTGGGGCCACCATCCTCTACACATCGGCCCTCCACTGGGATCTGGATCATCCTCATTCCTCGTCGCC